TCAAGAAAAACATCATTCGTTTTGTAAGGCTTGATGATGCGTCTATTAGTTCCCTTAATGTAATAACTATTAGAGTGTTAATCGAAGCGGATGTTTGTCTGCCTCTGAAGCAGGTGTAAGTGGTGAACGGGGATGAGGAGTTGCTAACTTTGCTCAGTTACGAAAAGCTGTTTGAGGTTTATTTATATTTTGGTGGATAAAAAATATAGAAATGTGGATGGATATGCAAGAGCTAGATGTAAGTTGGCTCATGGTCAATAAGATATTCGGGGATGAGCCAAACGTGCTACCAGAGGGTGTTAAGGATGATTTCCTGACTTTGGCAGACACTGAGGATGATTGAATCATTTGCTTGCCTTAACCAGCAAGTAGTAAGGAAGAAGATGCAGAGGATGAGTCAAGAGTGGGTTCGGAGGACGACGACAGGACAACAACTATTTGGTTGTGGCTCATCCCAGAAAAGAAAAAGAAGAGATGTGTTAGGTGAAAGTGTAGGTAGTCAGGGCATGGGTGAAAACAAGTGATGAAGGCATTCATTTGGTTAAGTGTGAAGGTTTATATTGTTTAGTTTTAAGGTTATCATGTTCTAATTAATGTTTTAGATGGTTAAGTTTGAAGCTTAAGATGGTTTACTTTATGTTTGTATTGTTTGCAGCAATATTTTGATGGTTGTTCACTTTACAATTAATTTTGTCAAATTTTTCTTTCATTATCAAGAATGTAATTGTTTGTAGTCCAACTTGCAATCATTACTTAATATATTGTCTTTTCTGATATATATATATATATATATATATATATATATATATATATATATATCTTGTCCTTGTATTATTTGTGAATGGATGTTTCATAGTACTCGAACTTCCAATTGTTACTTATATATTTGCCTTTCTAACAACAATTGGAAATGTAATATGATAAACCTAAGGTTAGTTTCATAACAAAATCATTCATTCCACACTAGCGGTTGTTTTAAAAACGTTCATAAACCCTCATAACACCAAAGTTCTAGCTTCATAAACAATCACAAACTTTCATAAAACATAAGGGTTGGTTTCATAAAAGCTCGCAAACGGTCATAACACATAAGGGTTTAGTTTCATAAACAATCAGAAAGCTTCATAACACATAAATTTTAGTTTCATAAATTGTCACACACATTAATAAAACATAAGGATGGTTTCAGATATTGTCACAAACATTCATTCAATATAGAAAATTGTGAGGGATGCCACTTAAGTCATCCAAAACAAGTAACAATCTAGAATGAGATGATGACAGAATCCCCAAACTCATTAAATTCATCCAAAACAAGTAAAAATATGGAGAAGTAAGTTAAAAACATCCACAATGAACTAGTTGGCCAACAAATTAAATTCATCCTGACAAACTAGAAACTACCTCAACAGATGACAAATTTCTTCAACACAATGTATTGACAATATAATACTTGTTTATGGACTACCATTGTTCTTCAGGGGTCATTCTACACTAAACAGTTGCTAATCTAAAATTATCAATCATCCACCACTCACTATGCATTGTGAAGCTCATGCAACATGTCAATTGCCATCCTGAGTCGGAATTCATGGACGTTGCCGGGCGTAATTTCTTCCAAAGGAAGGCAAGTGGACAAGAACTCTATCACTTGTAAAGTGAAAATACTGCAATCCCCCTGTGCCATACAACAATTCAACAAGTCTCGGAACCAATTCTCAGACAATTCAATCATTTAAATAAACTCACTAAGGAAAACGGAGCTGGAGAATTGAACTTAGCTGTGAAGTCGAAGGATAAATATACAAAGGAAAACGGTTTACACTATCTTTGTAAAGTACAAGTTGTCAAATTTAAGTTGAAAAAGAAAACGATTTACACTATCTTTTTAACTTCACACTTCTGTTTAATTATGTCTGTTATTTCCGTTTGATTATTTAATGTAGACCCGGCAGTTTCTGACACGACACGAAAATGACACGAAAATAACGGGTTTCGGGTCAACACGATAACTTATCGGGTCATTATAGGGTGACCCGTTAAGAACCCGTTATTAATGGGTATACACGCGGGTAACACGTGGGTAACCCGTTTCGACCCGTTAAGAAAAAAATTATTTTGATAATTTTAAAGTTTAATTACTAAAAGATTTATTGTAAAATACAATAGCCATATTAATATATACAATATATTCTATATTAAATATATAGTTTTGTATTATTCTATATAAGTTTAAAAAAAAAAGGTTTAGTAATTATTTATTTTTATTATGAGAGTTCCTTATTATCATTACTAGGATAAATTTTACTTAACATGTTGTTGTCCAAAATTAAAATAAACTAATATAATATTTGTATCGGTAAGAACTAAAAAGACATACATACAAGTATGAAAAATGTGAAAGAATATATAAACACTCGCGATTCATCATTATTCCTCCACGAGTAGATAATGGTTACACTTACATTATCGTTTAGATTTTTAAAATCCTCCAAACCTTCACGAATAATATTTTTTATTTGAGGGAAAAATTAATAAAATTAATAATAATTATTGTAGAAGTGTAAAAAATGTAAAAAAATAATATAACAATCACTCATAGTGACAAACTTTACAACTTTCATGAAGGGGTCAGCTTCGAAATCCAACACTATAATTCATAAACCTTAAATTTATATTTAATCGTCGATTGCCATTTACGCTTTATTCTTCTTACTGAATTTCATTTTTAAAATTTTCTTTTTTGAAAACATGATCATCTGGCAGATATAAGAAGATGAACGGTTCAGATTTTTGATATCATGTTTTGATATTTACGGTTAACTGAAATATGAGTCGATATCATATAGTTTGTAGAAACTTTATAAACATCAAGCAATATTTTCACTAACCGTAAAACTCTGAATATAATATCAACGATCCAAACCGTTCATCTTCTTGCATCCTCTAATAGATCAAGCTTTCAAAAAACAAAATCTAAAAAAAAAACAAAATTTGATGAGAACAATGAAGCGTAAATATAAACAACAATCAACGGTTAAATTTTGATCTATGATTTATATGATTATAGTGGCGAATTTCGAAGTTAAGCTCTTCATGAAAGTTGTAAAGCTTATCATTACGAGCGTTTATATATTTTTTCTATATTTTTTTACACTTCTACATTAATTAGAAAACTATTAAAGACTTTAGGTAAGTTGTGACATCCCAAATCGCCAAGGGGAGTGATCCTTAAATGTATATTCTCATCCCTACCTAGCACGAGACCTTTTTGGGAACTCACGAGCAACTTCCCAGTGGGTCAACCATCCTGGGAGTGCTCTGGCCTCCTTCTCGCTTAACTTCGGAGTTCCTACGGAACCCGAAGCCAGTGAGCTCCCAAATGGCCTCGTGCTAGGTAGGGATGGGAATATACATTTAAGGATCACTCCACATCATCCAGGGGAGTGATCCTTAAATGTATATACCCATCCCTACCTAGCACGAGGCCTTTTGGGAGCTCACTTGCATTGGGTTCCGTAGAACTCTAAAGTTAAGCGAGAAGGAGGCCAAAGCACTCCCAGGATGGGTGATCCACTGGGAAGTTGCTCATGAGTTCCCAAAAACAAAACCGTGAGGGAATGGTAAGCCCAAAGAGGACAATATTGTGCTACGGTGGTAGAGCGGGCCCGGGATGTGGTAGACTCAGGCCGGGATGTGACAAATGGTATTAGAGCCAATCCTTGGCCTGAAGTGTGTCGACGAGGACGTCGGGCCCCTAAGGAAGGTGGATTGTAACATCCCACATTACCCAGGGAAGTGATCCTTAAATGTATATACCCATCCCTACCTAGCACAAGGCATTTTGGGAGCTCACTGGCTTCGAGTTCCGTAGGAACTCCGAAGTTAAGCGAGAAGGAGGCTAGAGCACTCCTAGGATGGGTAACCCACTGAGAAGTTGCTCGTGAGTTCCCAAAAACAAAACCGTGTGGGAATGGTAAGCTCAAAGCGGACAATATCGTGCTACGGTGGTAGAGCGAGCCCGGGATGTGACATAAGTGAAATATACTTAAAAGAAAAATGCGTTTTTATGTTTTGGATGTGACAATATGATCTGTATATACTTATTTAGTTTTATGTTTTTCATTTGATTATTTATTGGTTTAAAATATATTTTCCTTAACGGATAACGGGTCGGGTCATATTACTTGTTAATATTATCGGGTCGATTTCGGGTCGGATCATTTTACCCGTTTATTTTAATGGGTATTACACGACACGACCCGTTAAGATATCGGGTATGACATGAAAACGACACAAACACAGAAAATACGACATGAATGCCAGGTCTAATTTGATGACCAATATACAAAAATATGGGTGAGAAGCTACAAAAAGTGTATGAATATTACTTCCACTGAAAATTTTGGAAATATATTAAATGTATTTACTGTTTCGCAAAAGTGTGGTCTGAATGTTCTTCGTGGAATAAAAGCACCTCATATTTAACTCACAAGAGTATACTATATTTTCAACGTTTTTTTTTTTAATTATTATTTTTGTTTAGGAACATGATCAATATAGAAAGAATTAAACTTGAGTGACTTCCCATGTGCACTCAATTTTCTTGCAACATTCTGCTTGTCTTCCAATAATTGGTATTGATATTCCGGGATTTATTTGCTAATTTTGTTTTTTATTTTGTGGGTGTTTATTTTGGTCGCTTTTAGTTCCTTTGGTAATTAAATGTAGAGATATATCATGATATCATGTCACTTGATCCTCATGCAAAGATTCTGAAAAAATTAAAATAAGGAAAAACAAAAGCAACTCCTGATCCTATATATAGGAGCAATTGCTTTGCTTATTTCAAACAGGAAGCTCCATACATTAGGCACACATATATATTTAGCTAGCTACTTACCAGAATTTCAAGTTGAGATATATATTACCAGAATTTCAAGTTGAGATATATATATATATATATATATATATATATATATATATATATATATATATATATATATATATATATATATATATATAATTCTTGGCTGCCTTGTTTGCTTGTTTGCTCACAGTCAAGGATGAAGGTTGAGAAGGAGAGTAGATCTGGATCATATGCACTTCTGCTAGCAGCAAGGGACTCAGAGTATGTGAAGAAAGTGTACGGTGGGTATTTCAATGTTTTTGTTGCAGCGTTTGGGGAAGAAGGAGAGAGGTGGGACTTGTACAGGGTTGTAGATGGAGAGTTTCCTGACATGGATGACCTTCAAAGCTATGATGGCTTCATCATCAGTGGCAGCCCTTATGATGCTTATGGCAATGACTACTGGATCATCAAACTATGCTTTCTCTTGCAAAGTTTGGATGCCATGGAGAAGAAAGTCCTCGGAATTTGCTTTGGTCATCAGGTACAGACATATATATGTACATACGTACCTAGGTTATGTGTGTGTGTGTGTGTGTGTGTGTGTGTGTGTGTGTCTATATATATATAACATATCAAATGTGTGGTAAGAAAATAGTACTACGTACTCACGTTTATTAATTTGCGCCATATACTTTAATTTAATGTCACATTACGCACCCAAATTTGAGATTAGTTGCTTTTCCTTGTATAGGTGTTGTGCAGAGCACTAGGAGGAAAGGTTGGGAAAGCTTATACTGGGTGGGATATTGGGTTGAGGAAAGTGAAGCTAGTGAAGGAATTGGCTCCATTCAGCTTCGTTAATGACTTGGATGACGTTCCGCCTGCCCTTTCCATTATTGAGTGCCATCAAGATGAGGTTTGGGAAGTTCCTTTGGGTGCAGAGGTGATCGGGTACTCGGACAAAACAGGTGTGGAGATGTTCACCATTGGAGGCCACGTTCTGGGCATTCAAGGTCATCCTGAATACAGTAAGGACATTCTTTCAAATCTCATCGATCGCCTTTTCAACAGCGACTGCATAGAGAAAGGTTTTGCAGAAAACGCAAGGTCTGCACTGCAATTAGCTGAACCAGATAGGAAGTGCTGGGAGAAGTTCTGCAAGACATTTCTCAAGGGAAAATAGACTTAATGAACATGCCATACAAATTGCATGCTTTAATTTAAATCAAAGTAGTACTATTTTCAAGGGCATGAAATGTTTACTATATATTTAACCAAACAATGGAAAATAATCTTATTTTCTGTTTTTTCCTGTCCGTAATGTTTGAGAACCTTGTAGGCCATGAAAGGAACACATATATTCCGAGCACAGTTACAATACGATTGGAATAATTTTTCCAGCGAACGTTTTGGAATAATATTTTAAGGTCATGGAAGTTCGACAGTAGTGCTTAGTGGGACTGTTGAACTGGAATCCCAAGTCTTTTATTCCTCTTGTGAATGTCGTCTTGTTCTGGAAACAATATATTGTAGTGCATCTCTTATAAGTATATATCAGCATTTTTATTTTTATTTTTATTTTTGGTTTTTATTCTATATCAGCATTTTAAGAAAAATGAGGCCTACATTACTACATTATTAAGGATTGTACCCATAAAAAATCAGCAAAACAAAAATTATCCTAGGGAAATAGCAGAGATGATGCCATCACATGTGGCCTATCGACGTCGTAGTTACGCAATTCGTTCAACCCCTACGAATTCTTAATTAGTACGAGCTACCAATCGTGGTACAATAACGATCAGGAAGCACAATTTCAGCAAATTTCACCCATAGGAGCATTTGTTAGTTTTCTTTAGGTGGTTATGTGAAGCATGTAAGGTTTAATTTGTGAGTAAGATCAAACACCAAGCCATGCAATAACACAAGTAATATGAGCTATATATAAAGTAAGACTTAATTAGGGTTGTAACCAGATAACAACCATTTGGAGGGAAATATAAGCAACAAATTTGAATTTAAATGTTGCAGTTAGAGTTCCTTTGATAACTGATTGCAACTGCTCACTTAATGGGAGGAAGCAGTTGCAAGGCATATATAGAAATGCTTGGTCCCTCTTCTCGGTGGTCTGTCCTTGTTCCATATAGTTTTGGTTTGTCCCATTGAAAACATGAGAACTCTAACGTGATTACAAGAGAAGAGAAGATGATGTGGTAGAAACTAACACACAAATTAAACCCTATAATTTATACGATTGTAGTATGAGTGAGTAGGGATTGTTCTAGGCTGGGGATTAGGACGGATGCTAATCAACACAAATTAAACTTAATAACTAAAAACTAAGCCAGATTAACACAAAATAAGAACTGAGGGGGATTTTTTTGACGAATTTTGAGAAACAAAAGTAAATAGCAGCAATCAAATTGAGTTGTAAAGGGAATGTGTGTGAAAAGCTACCTAGAAGATTATTCTCCACACATGAAACATATGCACATAAATCGATTTCCAGTTATTCTTTCTATAAACCATGAATGACAATGCCCCAAATTAATTGTGAATGCACTAATTAATTCTCAGACTTTCCTAAGTTCATTGAATTGGACTCAGCGATGTAACCAAATTATCCTTCTCAAGTTCCCTAACTATGAAAAGCATGATAGAGACACATATCAAAGGTCATTAAGTTCTGTGAAAATCATAAGCATTGACAAGGGATTTGTAACTATGAAAAGCATGATACTCCTACCATGGATTTACTTAACTAAATCATGACTAGAGACTTTTACTATTTAGAAATATAAGTTCATAACGATTAGGTGAAATTCCCTTATATTCTAGCATCAAATCCCTGCATGCAAACTAAGTATGCATCCTTAATAAACATATAAGAATAAGTTCTCTATAAAACAGATAAGTAAATCACATTCATGTTTTATGAAACAACAACTGGATGTAATCAATTTATATAAACAAATGATCATGGCTTCGAATTCACCTCTAGCTAAAAAGAAACTTAGTTACACATGTTCATCATAATTGAAAAGAAATCTAAAATAAACATTGAAACTAAATAAGGATAGAAAGAACTCTGAAATCTCCAATGGTTGAATGACAAGATGCAACACAATCCTTCTCCTTTAGCTCTTGAGGTTGCAGCACCAAGTTTTCTTCCCCAATTGCTGCGGTAGAAATACATACATAAATATATATAGGGTAGGGTTAGGCAAAAACCAAGGAGAAAAAGGATTAGGGTGTTTGAATGGATTATGACTCCTAGAATCAAATGGGAAGTATTTAGAATAGGATAAGGGCTCCTTTTGTAGCTGGAGATAATATGAAATAATGTTGAATAAAGTAGGATAATGTTTGGATAAGGTAAGATAAGATAAGGTAAACTGGATAAGATAAGATAAGTTTGGATAAGGTAAGATAAGATTATATCTTTCCTTGTCTTCCAAGCTTCCAAATTTGATTCCTCCATATTTTAGCACATATTTAGCACATGTAAAACACCAAAAACGTCCAGCCCCACTGCTCCACACGCACGCTATCCAATCCAAGTCCAAAACTGCTCCAAATTGCTCCATTTAGCAGTTTATTGTCATCTTTACCAATTGGAGCTACAATAATACGAAAATAACTTAACTTACGATAATAAATGGGAATTAACTAACTAAATGCAAAGAAATTAGATAACAAAGTTGCATAAATATGCTTCTATCAAATTCCCCCACACATAGCTTTTGCTAGTCCTTGATCAAAACAAAGAAAACAAAACAAAACCTAAACCTTCCAACAATAGCCTCACGGATTTCCAATGAAACACGACATATTAAAAATCACTACTCACATAGATTTTAGCCATCCTTACTCTTGAGCTTATACTTAACCACAGCAACACTCACTAGCCCGCATTTAATCAATTAAAACAACATTTGAAAGCAGTAACATGCCTTAGAGATTTCACTCAATTCCTCACCAGATATACTCTCTATTTCCACACAGATTTTCTGATCACACTCCCTATACTAAGTACATGTGAGAAGATTGATATAAATATGTAGACTAGCACTCACATATGTAATTTCTATTTATTATAGTGATTTAAGCTATTTTCGTGTGTTTGTAGGTCCAATTGGCAAAGATGACAATAGATGGCTAAATGGAGCAATTTGGAGCAGTTTTGGACTTGGATTGGATAGCATGTGTGGGGAGCACTTTGGATGGACGTTTTTGGTGTTTAAATAATGCTAGAAATGTGCTACAATCTGGAGGAATTAAGAGTGAGGATTGGGAGACAAGGAATCAGAAATTAAAGGGAAACCTTATCCTTAAAAAACCTTATCTACTCGTATCCTATCCTTATCCAAACTTACCTTATCTTATCCAGTCCTGTTTTATTTCAACCTTATCTTATCTTATCTTATCATATTCTAATCCTACCTTACCTTATCTTTAGTTGCAAGGGGGGTTCCTTATCACATTCAACCACTTCTAATCTGATTTAAGGAGTCCTAAAACATTGCAAACAACTCAATCATTTTCCAACAAAAAGTAGGCTGTGCCCCTAGCCCTATAAATGCAAGTTATTGCCGCAACTTTTAGGGAGTTTAGAGAGAAAATTGGTGACAGTGCCGCAGGTTTCTGGAGGAGAGAAGGAGATTTTGAGCCGTGCTTGCTTTGAGAGGAGGAGCCGAATCTGCCATTGCTAGAGTGTCTCAAAGTTCTTTCTATCCTTATTTGATTTCAATGTTTAGTTTAGATTGTTTTTATTTAGTTATGACGAACATGCGTAACTAAGTTTCCTTTTAGCTAGAGGTGAATTTGAAGCCATGATCATATGTTTCATATGAATTGATTACATCTAGTTATTGTTTCATAAATTGTGACTGTAATTTACTTATCTGTTTTATTAAGAACTTGTTCTTGAGTGTTGATTAAGCATGCACACTTAGTTTGCATGTAGAGATTTGATGCTAGAATATAAGGGAATTTCACCTAATCGTTATGAACTTATATTTACAAGTAGTAAAAGTCACTAGTCATAATTGTGTTAAGTAAATTCCTGGCAGGAGTATCATGCAGTTCATAGTTATGAATGCCTTGTCAATGCTTATGATTTTCACAGAACTTAATGATCTTTGATATGTATCTCTATCATGTTGTTCATATAGAGAACTTGATAAGAATAATTTGATTGCGTCGCTGAGTCCAATTCAATGAAATTATGAAAATCTGAGAGTTAATTAGTGTAGTTCACGATTAATTTGGGGTATTGTCATTCATGGTTTATAGGAAGAATAACTGGAAATCGATTTGTATGCATATGTTTCATGTGTGGAGAAGAATCCTCTACCTAGCCTTTCACCCAATTTTCGTACCAAACTTAATTTGTTTCTTCAATTTACTTATTTTAAGTTAGAATTCGTCCAAAAACCTCCCCCCTTATATTTAGTGTCTGTTTAGTTTAGTTTTCAGTTTTTAAGTCTAAGTAGTGTTGATTAGCATCCGTCCTAATCCTCGGCCTAGAACAATCCCTACTTGCTCATACTACAACTGTCTTAATAGGGTTTAATTCGTGTGTTAGTTTTTACCACATCAAATTTTGGTGCCATTGCCAGGGATTAGTAAAATTGCTAATCCCTCTGTTTTTTGTTTATTTTTCTTTTGATGTTTGATTTAGGTTTATTTGTTTGATTTCAGGTACTAGAGAAGTAAGACATGGCAATTGCAAATCTTCAAGCTCAAATGGCGAATCTTACTTCTCTTTTGTTGTAGTATATCGAAAGGACTGCAATGCAAAGTGTGGCTACATTTGGTGTGTCCTCTAGGCAAGGATATCAAACTAATCAACATCCTTAATTAATTGAGAATGAAGGTTGGGATAGTGTCAATGCTTGGGGTTATCAAGGCCATAATCAATCAAGGAATGAACTTACAACCCAGGTGGGAGAGATCATTCAAAATTTATGTGGAGGGAACCTCAACAAGTTCAACAAGAAGGATATTGGTAGCAACTTGAGGAGTTCTATTCAAGGCTAGTTGCACCACCACAATCTTCCCAACCAAATTCAGGTTCGTTAATGGATAGTGATAAAATTCTTCAAGTACTAAATTCTTTGACGCAGGGCTTACAAAATCAAGCCAATGAGGTGGGCGAATTGAAGAATCAAATAGGTCAGATGGCAGAATTCATGGGACAATTCAAAGAACAAGGCAAACTGCCTAGTTCAACCGTTGTCAATCCAAAGGGAGGCTTTTAAACCGTTAAGGCTATCATGTTAAGAAGTGGCAAGGAGATTGGAACCAATCCCAAAATGTCCAAACAAAGCCAAAAAGAGGATGAAAAGCTACTGCTTGAAGAAGAAGAAGTGGACAAGGCCACGACAAGGGAAGAACAACCCTTGCTGCAGCCATGGTATAAAAAATCGATAATATCGGCGATATTTCGCCGATATTATCGTTTTTTTGGAAGTCCGACATTTCTACACATATCCAATAGGTTTTCGTCAAAATATCGAATATCGATAATATCGATAATATCGATATT